CTGTTGTTAGTTTTGGTTGTAGTCGCTGTTGTTAGTTTTGGTTGTAGGTGCTGTTGTTAGTTTGGTTGTAGTCGCCATAGTTACTTTTGGTTGTAGTTACTGTAGTTAGTTTACCCAGGGACGCACCTGACTTGTGACATTTGTGTCCCTCAGATTGAGGAGCTGGCCAGCTGCCTGTCCTTTGACTCCCGTCAGTCGTCCGTGGAGTCTTTGGCCAGTCTGGACACTCGGTCCAGTCACTCAGCGAGCAGCAGTCCAATTCCTCGCCGAGGCTCACCACTGCACACTCGCTTCAGAGTTTCTGCCAAGAAAGCTCTGCTGCTGTGGGTTCGAGAACAGTGCCACAAGTAAGATCTTCATCACCTTACTGCATCTAGAGACCAAGAGATGACTTTTATTTTAATGGAATCAGATGTTGTTGAGTTAAATCTGTTCCTTTTTTTTTTGTTTTAAGAATAACAGAATTTTAACCCAGATAGAAACCTTGCTGCAAGGCTTTTATTGTGAAAGAATTGTTTTCATTCTTTCTATCACCATGACAACAGCCGTCCCAGCCTGGACCTGAAGTTTTATTGAGTTGGGTCCTGTTGAATGTGTGTGTCCTCAGAGCCGACTGTTCCATAAACGTCAAAGACTTTAAGGCGAGCTGGAGGAGTGGTGTGGTGTTCCTCGCCATCCTGAGCGCTCTGCGGCCCGACCTGGTGGATCTGTCCAAAGCCAGAACCAGGAGCAACAAGCAGAACCTGGAGGAAGCTTTCCACATTGCAGAGAAAGAGCTAAGGATCCCGAGACTTCTGGACCCAGATGGTGAGGACCTGACTCCCTCAAAGCTTCTGTCAGAATACAGATTTTAAAGTTTCTGACAGAAGTTTAAACTTCAAAGAATTCCCGTAAAAATAAGACATTTTAATAAAAATGGAACAAAACCTTCAATAATTAAAACTGGCCTTGTCTGGAGGAATGCATGTCGCCCGCCACCTTGCATGCAGTTTTCATTGTAAAGCTGTGGGATCCGTCAGCCCTCAGAGGGTGTGTTGGGATGACTCTCAGCTACCACCACAGCTGACTTCAGCTTTTTCAGGTAAAACTTCATCTTTTGGGGTTTTGTTGTTTTCAAAACACAGCAGGGTCGGTTTCTGTGCCAGCACAGAATGTTCAGGGTTCTTTTGGACTCTTTGAAGCTTTTGGTTCTGCAGACACACCTTAATAAACTGATTTAGTCCATTTTCTGAACGATGTCCTTGTTTAGTCTGAATAAATCTGTGGAGAAAATCTGTTTGAGACGTTCTCAGTCGGCCTGAGGGACCGTCGATGACGACCGACCGGTCTGCTGATCAGAACCAAACAAACCCTCATCTGTTTCAGAGCTTCTATTTGAGAGTTCTCATCTTCAGATTCTGTTGGTTCAGCCTGGTGGTTCATCAGCAGAACCACCTCCTGTCCTTAGACCTATGTTCAGCTCCTCATCTCCAGGAGCTGCCGCCTCCTCCTCTGTGGTTCTTTGAATATTTGTTGTAAAGATTAATGATGGAAGGTGATGTTGTTGATGCAGATGTGGACGTTCGGGACCCTGATGAGAAGTCCATCATGACCTACGTGGCCCAGTTCCTTCAGTACTCCAGAGACCAGCCCGTCCCAGAAGACGAGATGCAGGTTTGGACTTTTATGCTTTTAATCAACGCTGAAGACGGCAGGTCTTCTGGACCAGACGATGTTCTGATAAAAACATCTCTGCTAACAGCTGTGATTGTTTGAACCTGGACTGTGTTCTGCTCGTTACAGTTATTAACTCCTCCGTCTTCTTCTAAACTTTGATCTGATGTAAGTTTCTTCTTCCTTCCCGCCTCCTCCTCCTCCTCCCTCAGACTCAGCTCCTGACTCCTCCTAGAAGCTCCTCACCTGTCCGTCTACCTGTTCACTACACTCCTGCTGTTTCTGCTTCACCCCTCCGACAGGTACACCACACTGCTCAGAAGTACCACAAACTACCACAGACCACAAACAAACTACACCAAACTACCACAGACC